AACTCTAGGATGAACATACTGTATAATGATTACAAATAGTCTAAGTATACCTGAACGAAATGGCATATTCAGAGTCATTTTTCTTCCTGACAAGAAAAGATCCATCGCTTGGCGCCCTTTTCAACATGTTTTCCGCCTCGGGTCGTTGTAAGTTTGCATGGAACCACCTTAAGTAACGAAAATCTCATTAGTTATAATGTAAACGACTACTAGCGCTCTGGCCGCCTTTAAGCCACCATTATACTATCAAAGTTTCTGTGATCACAGTAGGAATTTTGCATCGGTAGATTCTAAGTTCTGAAGGATTTGTAAAAAATGTTTGAGTCATGTGTTAACATTTCTTACAAATCCTTCAAGACTTAGAATTTACAGATGCAAAATTCCTACTGTGTTCACAGAAACTTTGATAGTGTAACCAGGCTTTAGTTTCTCGGATGAAGACGTGAGGTGGCAGGAAGGCATGGTTGTGTTCAAGCATCAAATTCAATTCAATAGACAATTCCCATTATAGATTAATTTTAAAACTAGGCAAGGAGATACGAATGAATCACTACAGCCAGAACGAACATAATAAAATGAGTAAAATTGCAAAGTTTGGTTGCGAAATGTTGTAAAATGCGAAAATATATAGCCTTCCAAAGTCTGCAAATTTTGTATACTTTTGTATTGCGTGCGGAAATTGCTACCATTTCCGGCCCAAATGTACATGTGGTAGCAATTTCCGCACGCAATACAAAAGTATACAAAATTTGCGAACTTTGCAAGGCTATATTTTCCGCATTTTACAACATTTCGCAACCAAACTTTGCAATTTTACTAATTTTAACATGCTCTTTCCTTTTTTGCCAAGATAAAAAATAGTCTATAATGGGAATTGTCTATTCAGGCTGCTACTGATATTAAATAGAATTCAACGTACTCTTTCTCCAGATGTGCATTGGGCTGTCAAAGAAAAAGAGATGTTCAGTTTAGTTACAAATCATAGTTTAAAGTTGGAGTCATAATAGTGGTGATAGGGTTGGTGATGATGAGGATGATGATGGTAGTGATAGTGGTTATGGTGTGCACTGGAAAAAAAAGTGAAATCCATACTACGAAATTTGCAATTGCACCACTAAATCCATAGTATATCCATACTATTTCCATACTATATCCACACTATGGAAATATACAATTATTATGAAAAATCAAAATCCATTCTATTTCCAACGAAGGTCCATACGCAATTCTATGATCTTCTATGGATTTTCAATTTTTTTCCAGTGGTGGATGATGAAGGCCTAGGTGGTTGGTGATAATGGTAGTAACGGTAGTAATATTGTTAGTGGTGATGGTGTGGATGATGGTGGTGGTGATGGTGGTGGTGATTTTGATGAAAGTTGTGATGATGATGGTGGTTGATGATGATGGTGGTTGATGATGATGATGATGGCAACGGTAGTAATAGTGTTGATGGTGATGGTGTGGATGGTGATGGTTGCGATGAAGGTTGTGATGATGGTGGTTCGTAATGGCAGTAATAGTGTTGGTAGTGATGATGGTGGTTACGATGAAGGTTGTGATGATGGTGGTCGGTGATGAAGATGGTAATGGTAGTAATAGTGTTGGTAGTGATGATGGTGGTTACGATGAAGGTTGTGATGATGGTGGTCGGTGATGAAGATGGTAATGGTAGTAATAGTGTTGGCGGTGATGATGGTGGTTACGATGAAGGTTGTGATGATGGTGGGTCGGTG